CATGTGTCTGCAAGCAGAGGCCACCTCTGCCGTGGCCCTGTCTGTGTCGGGCTCTGTGCTGGCCTTTGAGTCCAGTGGGCTTATTTTTTTAAGGGGCCATCAGCTTGAATTGATACTTTGGACTGAAGATAATATGTCACCTGTGGTTGCACTACCCCATCCGTATTCCTGAAGCTGACGGGGAGCGGGGTGGAAGGACAGCTTGTCTTTCTGTGTTTCTTCAGCTATTTTGATAGTCCTTTAGCCTTGATCTTACAATCAGGTCCACGCAGATGAGCTCCCAGCCTGTTGAGAGCCGTCTACAGGTGATGGGATCCGCAGCCCTTTAGTGTGCCATAATTTCACTCTTGCCTTTAGCTTTCCCATGCAGACAAATCCTTACTGGTGTAAGTTGAGGTGTGCATATAAACCAATATAGATGTGCTGGCATAACCTATTCAGCTGTAAATAAATAGCTCTTTTCAATTTAGTGGATGTTGCTTGGGATTCGATTGCAGAATCATAGTTGAAATGAAAGCACTCAAGTGTGTATGTAACTTTACTCATGTAATCTGCTCTGGTAGTGCTTGTACCTGATTCTGCAACTGGGACCATGCAACTGTTGACTTCTGAGAGTCACTATATAGGGACCTGAGAGATCATTCCTGCAAAAATTTAAGTGTATGCATATGCCTATACAGAATAGAGACTTCTAAACGGTTTTCTCTGTTGCTTGTGTGAGGCTTTTATGCAATAACAAGGAAAAGATAACCTTTTATGATCAGAAATGTATATTCACACATAGGTGAGTCAGGAGCTCATGTATCTGAAACGTCTTAATCATTTTTAAAGATGGCATTTATTAATTACCTGCAGACAATTTAAAATTTATGTAAATATATTATCCACATCCATTCCAATTTAATTAGCTCAAATAGTCTCTTTTTCTTTCATCTGAGGAATTGAGTTGTAGCTCACAAAAGCTTATGCTAAATGCTACTTTACCCTAATAAATTTAACTTCAAATTTCCAGATGCACCGTTAACCATCAGAGGGTGCTCTTAGTCCAATAGGTGCATTGTGAACACTGACATTACTGTTGAAACATTTTTTATAAACAAGACACCATCTGCCCTTGCATGGATACAATAATTCATGAAGTTGAGTTTATGTTATTGCTTGCACAATGAAAACTAATAAAGGAAGTTTTCCCATAGTCTTAGTTATGAAGAAATATATAATCAGTTCTAAAATGCTTACTGCATGTATTACAATGCATAGAATTATGACATACTTCTTTCTCTAAGCACAAATTGTGAAATGCCAGCAACAAGTAACATCAATAAATAAATTCTGGTTCTAACTTGGGAGCCTTCTTTACATTCAGAAGGCCTATTAAAGACAGCAGTAGACTGGTAAAGTAAGGATGTGAATGGCTAACCGGTTACCTGGTAAGCATCACTCTTAATGGGTAATGCTTACAGGGTAATGGTAAACTGCATGGGGGGATCTCTGCTGTCTCCCTGCCTGTGTGGATAGGCTGGGAGTCAGCAGCCTTGTGTGGGAAGGCAGTAGGAGGGGATTGGCTGGCTGCCACTTCCAGTCCAGCACAAGGCTGCTGACTCCTATCCTTTGAGCCTGTGTGGGCTGGGAACTGGTAGTCCAGAGTGTGGTCGGAAGCAGCTGGGCTGGATCAGCCCCTACTCATGATGCGGGGGGGGAGGGGGTGACTGTACCCTGGGTGGGACAAGGGGGTGCTGCTCCAACCTAGCAGGGGACGCCCTCCCCTACTGTCTGCCCCATTTTATCAGTTAACTGGTTAAACATTAAGTTTAGCCAATTAACTTTTTACATACCTTTAGTAATATAGAAAACCTCTAAAATTGGGCATGTCAGAATGAATATATTAGTGTGGTGACAATCTCATTAAAACATATAGAATTTAGGGTTTGATCCACATTTAAAAAAAACAAAAAACATGCTTATCACCATAGTCACAATTGTATCTTTGGAGATGGCTTCTACAATAATACTAATTATCTGCTGAGATGATTATCCTGATTCAGTGATAAATTTGAAAATGAATATTCTAATTATTCATCTCATGTTAAGCAGGATCCCAGCATGTTAGTAATGGAGTGTGGTTTTGTGTATTTTCTGTTAAATGTAGGCATTTATTGGGAAATAATTTTGCAAATCAATGAAACCTTTGCTGTTTTGTGTTTTCCTTTTCACTTCTGAGAATTTTGTTCACAACTATGTTATTAGAACAAATAACTCTTTTTGTGACTATTTTGCTCTCATAGATGAGGTTGATTCCTCTCCTCCTGTCCTCCACTTATTTTTGGTTTAATCTCAAAGTGCATGTATCCAAAAACGTTTTGTTTCTCAGGGCTTCAAGTTCTCAGCAGATGTCAAACCGTTTGTCCCAAAATACACAACAGTAACTGTGCCATGGTCAGAACCCTCAGAAGCATGTGTCTTTCCAACTACATACTATCCATTTGTTCAGGAACCATCTGTCGATAAGTATGTATTTTTCTGAATTTCATATGGATAATTGTAATCTTCTAGTGCCTTTTCTTTGACTACTCTTCCAAAATGGAAGTAGGAATTGAAGAAGCACTTTAATTCTTCTAACTCTAGTAGCCCTTGTTGAATGGATGGATGATTTAGACCAAGAGTGGGCAATAATTTAAGTGGCCCTAGGCCACCCTAGAAGGGCTGAGGTCTCGGGTGGAAGGGCCAGGGCCAGGAAACTTCCTGTGCTCTTCCCTCCCACAGATCCTGATTAGCCTGGGGGTGGGGGTGTGCATAAAGTCTTGGGCCCCCCTGCATCTCCCCAGGTGCCTAGAGAGAACTGCCAGCTGTTTTGAACAGCTTGTGGTTCCCTCTAGGCACCATGTGCCCCTGGCAGTGGGAGGAGGCTTTGCACACTACCCTCAGGCCAAGCAGGGCCTGAGGGTGTGGGAGCCTGTGAAATCTCTTGCCCCCTGCCTCTGTCCTGCCTCCACCAACTCTGGGAGTGATCAGAAAGCGAAGTTTTGAACTGCTGGCAGTTCCCTCTGGTGCCACATGCCTCTGATAGGGGGAGGAGACTTCATACGCTCCCCTGTCCCCCAATCTCAATTGGCCTGGGGACAAGGGAACAGCAGGGTGGCCCCAGATGAGATCAACTGGCTTGGTGGGCTTGATCCGGCCCGCAAAGGACATCATGCCCACCCCTAGTTTAGCCCAGTGTTTCTCAACTAGTGGTACGAGTACCCTTAGGGGTACTCAAGAGACATCTGGGGGGGTACATCAACACAATTGAAATTTGGAGAAAACTGAATTTTTGTTTTAAGTTTTACAGTGCTTTATTCTTTTTGTACTTTTTCCACTGAAAAATGTCATCGCCCACCCGGCTACGATTAAGTTGTTTAAACAAATGTGTTGCAATGGTAGGGGAAAAAAAATGTGTGTCTGAAAACTGTAGATATGGGGGGGTGCTTATAAAATTTTTTTTTAAAGGGGTACTTTATTAAAAAAAAAAAAAAAAGAGGTTGAGAAACACTGGTTTAGCCTATCTCTGAGTGATACAGATTTGGTATTTAGGTTGTTAATCCAAAGACCTGGTATTATGGTAGAGGAGGCCAAAGAGGAGCCATATCACTCTGCAGTGCCTAGTGTAGCAGATTCAAGAGTGGTCTTTGTCTCTGGAAGTAGACCTGGGGTAGAAGGATGACAAACTATGATGTGGATGGGAGAAACAGTGGGTATGTACTGACGGGGAAGGAGAACCCGTGATCGTGGGGTAGAGGGAACCTCCATAACTTGAGGATACTCCCTATTTTAAATGCCTTCTTTCTAAATATAAGGAATCTTCAGAATCCTTCCTTCCGCCCCAAACAATCTTATTTTAAAATATAAAGCTAGTAAGAAAAAAATATATTTGCAAAAAAACAACCAAACTATTCTTAATGTAGCATTCTTCAAGACTCCCCATTGTAGATTAGGGATGTGAACGTTTAAAAAGTTAAGCAGTAAAGCTTGCCGTGTCCACAGCAGGCACAGTCCAGTGACCCTCCCCTCCAATTAGCCAATTAAAAGGGGGATTTGGTAACTGGTTAAACAATATGTTTGACCAATTAAACCAGATTTAAATCTCTAATCTAGATTTTATTAAAACCAGAAATAAAAACCTATGATGTGTTTACATCTTCTGTATGTTTGCATAGGAAATAACTAACAATTCCACGGGTTCTGTTGGATAATCAGTAGATGTCCTAACTTTTTTGTTTGCTTCTTAGTAAGAATTCCTTCATTTGAGGCAGAACTGCATTGTCCTGTAACTCATTTACTCCTTAAGAACTCCCTGCACCCCAAAGATTGTGGGTTTTTTTAATACCTTAACAGAATTTTCCAACACGTGATCTCAGAATTGTTACAAAATTGTCTTTGTATTCAGCTTGTATTTTGCATTGTTGTGTTGTAACCTATTTAATGAGCTGAATGCAGTCTGATTTATGACCGAATATGACATCATTAAAGAAATAGTGAGAAGCCCCAATATTGTGATTAAGGTTGCATTGTTGGGGATTAAAATCAGAAAACAGAGCTAAGGATTGAGGCACTATTCTGCCTGTTTCTCCATATGAATTAGGATAGGCTTAAGTCAAAACAACTTTTATGACCAGAGAGAGCATTTCCTACTATTTGTTTGCATATCTGAAGTATTTGCTTATTTCAGAATTGAATAAATATATGAAAATAGGAAAACATCAAGCTGATAGACATTGGCCAAAGTAAACCAGTTTTAAAATGTAGTAGATAAATAGCTGTCTGTCTGTTCAAGGACTCCTAAAGAGTACAGATAGTCCCCAACTTACGAACGAGTTACATATCAAACACTTGGTCATAACTCGATCTGTTCGTAAGTCGGACCCCATTCATTTAAATGTGACTGCACTGTTTCTAAGCGCGGATCGCGTTCATAACTTGGGGACCGGCTTAATGGGAGGTTGGTCGTAAGGACGAATGGTCGTTAGTTGATGCGTTCGTAACTTGGGGACCACCTGTAAGTTCTAGGACCACCAAATTTGGTGTACAGCTTCCTCTTATCATAACTGAAAGCAAGGTTAGAGTTTGGCTGTATCAGAATAAGATTCTGTCTCTTTTCTGCATGGTTTGATGAGAAACAATCACAAGGCAGGTGAAAGGGGCTGGTTCTCTCCCCGGGGAAGCCTACATACTGAACCCCTCATCCTCAGCCTCACCACAGAGCAATGATTTAAATGAATATTTTATTTTCCAAAAAAACAAAAATTGAGTTAAGGACCTGAGCAACGCTGGGTAAAACTTGTAGTTGGATATACATAAGCTAACATCTGTTTGCTCAAATTGAGAGTTTCACTTTGTATCTGTAAAAGTAATTTCTGTGGAAAATGTGGGTCTTCAGTTTCAGAGGGCCGGTTAAAGTGGTTGGGACCTTACTGATATTAATGTAGAAAAATATATTCCTTATGAAACCTTCAGACATGTGAAATTTGCAGAAGCTATATTTAAGGCTTCCTTTAGCCACTAAGCACAACCCCAATATCTGCCATCTAATAACCTCGTATGGTATTATTAGGATGCATTCTGTCCCATTGATTACTGCATTATACTCCGGTTTCTAAACTGTATTTTAAAATAAAATTTCAGTACTTCATATTCCTTTCCTTGTAGCCAAGTGCATTCACGTATACTTTTTAGTTGTATTATACTTTCGAGCCTCTATCTGTGTTTAAGCTCCCACTTTATCACAAGGAAGTCTAGCAAAATAATAAAGAACTTGCTAGCAGGTGACGTTTGAATGGGGAAGTATAACTTTAAGTAAAGCAGAATAGTTTAAACAGACTATAGGCAGATTCAGTTTTAAAAAAATTAAACATTATGAAAGTTTAAATATAAAGGAGAGAAACATTAAATAAAATATTTTAATCATGTTGGAAGAAATAACTTGAAGTTTATGCTTAAAACAGTTATCTAGAAAGCAACGAGTAACTACTTAGTTGAAATTATGGAGAATGCTTGTCATACAACGTATTATGCCTCTTTAATATTGAACAAAATCTTCAGCTAAAGAATGGTGTATTTATTTAGGCAACAGATATGTGCGGAAGATGAGTCCTGGGATGGCGCTTCAGCTCTTTCTCAATATATATCTGGTAGCATTATGGGATATACTCCACTTGAGCAATGCTCTAGCTCGCTTTCATCTGATGCTGCACCAAAAATATACCCACTAGCCAGAACTCGGTATAATTGTAACAACTCTAAACAATACAGTCATTCCAGGATAGTTAGTGAATGTGGTGAACTCACTTGCCCTATCAGACAAGAAACTATAAAGACTCCTAAGGTAAGTGAATACTTTCTTCTGTAAGCTTTAAAATTAATAATCACTACTTGTAGCAATAGCAAACAGCATTTAAAGAGAACCATGTTAACACTAATGTAGATTTAGATATTTTTTATAACTAGAAGATTTTTTTTCTTATAAAATTGAAGAGTAGTAGAAACTCTTATAATTCAAATATACATAATATTTTAAAATGGTGCATATTTTATTTGTCAAAATAATATACTGGCAGTCCCCGGGTTACATACAAGATAGGGACTGTAGGTTTGTTCTTAAGTTGAATCTGTATGTAAGTCGGAACTGGCGTCAGACGCTGCTGAAACTGATCAGTTTCAACAGCGGCTGAATCTGGACGCCAGTTTGACTTACATACGGATTCAACTTAAGAAACCCAGGCGTCCCCAAGTCAGCTG